TTATGAACATTGCTCAACATCATGAAAATTAAACCTTATTTTCAATAAGCAATCCTGAAAAATATTTGGGGGTGCTTAACTTTTTTCCAGGTGTATATATACAAGACTAACACATATCTAGTAAATGCTAGGGCATTCTTGAAGGAACAGGATATTTCTAGAAACAGGTGGCGTGATACTAGTCACGTGACCTCGCTGACGCAACACTATAGAATACAGCAACATATAAACGACGATAGCTGTTTGACTGTTGTTGTTTTTTGTTTTTACTTAAAAAGTAACAATTTATGGGAAATTGTGCTTGGGTTCCTTAAAATAATACTTTAAAAAGATAAAAACATTGGATCGTTAAAACATAAAACAAGATAACAATAGCTCTCCTACCGATAGTATATTTTAGAACATTCTCTTACAGAAAAAATTTAACTTTTCGTGTGAAAAACTGGATATTGCCCTTCAAAACGCGCTTTATCTTAACACTTTGAGCCTAGAAATTCTCTGATTATATAATCATTTCTAGTCTATTTCTTAAAATACACGCGAATTTGTAAATATGAAGTTGATCTTAAAAAGTTCTGGAAACCTACTAGTTACAAATATATGTAACAAAAAAGTACAAAGTAGAGGCGTCGCTATCCACTGACACACGGGACCCGTGCCCCGATTCTATTTGACAATGTCCAGAATATCCAGTTGATGTCTTGAAAAATTAGAATAGAAAACCGTGATCGATATTATTATTATTCAGGGGGGGGGGGTATGGTCCCACGCCCATAGCGACGCCTCTGGTTCAAAGAATGATCAGAGTATGTCAACTTTCCGGATGTCGATTCAGTATCATTATACTGCTTTTAGCAACCTATAGTAAACCACGTAATGCAAGTAAAAGTAAAAGGTGCCGGAAAATTATGTCCTTCTTCAATATGCACAGTTGTTGATTTGCTAACCCAGATGTCACAAGTTTGCTCGTCGAACCACCAATTTTAATAGAACGTACTCAACTGTGAGTAGGTTCAAATTTTAATGTCTTACCCAAATGTCCCCCGGTGGGACAGCGGTAAGTCTTCCGATTTACAACGCTAAAATCATGGATTCGATTCCCCTCGGTGGCTACAACAGATAGCCCGATGTGACTTTGCTCTAAGAAAACACATGCTTCTTCTATATTGGGACAGCGGTACGTCTTCC